GGCTGAGATGGCTAAATTTACTTCTTTGATCAGAGAAAAGACAGTATCTATGTTTATTGCTGACTGGAAACCCCTTATGGACTTTTTGAGTAAAACAGAAAAAGCTGAATTTATGATTTATGGGTTCATAATTAGATAGGATAGATTATAGAAAGAAGAGAGTCAAGTTGTAACCATAAAGAGGTAAATTTATAATTGCACTTATAAATACTGTAAAGAAGACAGCAAGCCACTTCTTTGTATCTTTTTTCTTTCTTTTCTATTTTTCTTTTATTTTTTTCCTTTCTTGCACTTTTAGCTTTCTCTGTGATTTCTTTCTTTTTCTTTTCTTCTTCCTACTTTATATTAGCTTGACTACAAACTCATTTAGAGGAGAGGGGAGCTGCCATAGGCAAGCCCCCCTTTTGCCTTTAGAGCCGAGAAAGACAGCTCTCTGCAGATAGTTGGGAGTCCCATCAGGCCAAGCTAGCACGGAAAAAAGACAGGGATGGTAGTTGTTCCAAAGGTTTAAATGGCACGAGGATGGTTACTCCTGCTTTAGAGGCCTTAAGCAAACCGATCCTCCCTTTCCCCAAACTAGACCCCAAGTGAGTTGAGTTGAGTCGGGTTGGGTTGGCCTCTGGGGTGGGGGGGGGGTGCAGTCCAATTCATGCTGAAAACCTCAGACCGCTTCGCTGCTTTTAAAGCGAAGGCGGCTTTGAGCCACCATTCCTACCAAGGGGAGTTTTCCCACAGCTTCTTCCTTTTCACTGCAGCTGGGAGAGAGGCGACCACAGCATCCTCCCTGCCCAGCAGCAACGTGCAACTCGCTCCGCCGCCTTAGCTGACGGGGGAAAGACGGGGAGCCGCAGGAAACACCGGGGCGAGGGCACCAAATTTCCTCACTCAAGGCGAAGGAGCGGCCCAAGCCGGCCAGGCTCTGGGCACTCCCTGTAGGGCTTCCCGGGGTACCAGAACAGATTCTGCCTCCTGCTCCCGAAAAGCAGAAAATGAGGCGCTACCGGCTTCCTGAAAGCGCCCCTAATCCTCCCTCCGCGTCCTCCCGGAGCCCTACGGCAGCGGTACTCGCACAACCCGAGCCACCCGCGCGAGCCCATTTACCTCAGGCGCCCTGAAGGCCGCTGCGCTGCCGAGCTTCCGTAGTTTGAGCTCAGCGCCTTCCTCCTCCAGAGCGCCAGCCAGACCTTACTAAACCATCACAACGCTCATCCATCCGCGCACCCAGGCAAGGAGCGTAGAGGTTATCGATTGATAGGCCGGCGCTGGTGGCGTGGCTTCTTGCGTTGCGGCGTTGCTTTTCTTTTTCTTTTTTTTCCCAAATAACTGCATTAAAATTACACACTTTAAATTTTAATTAGTGCCATTATAGGGTTTCTGGTTTTTATGTTTTATACTCAGGTTGATGGTTTCTTGTATGATCTTTCTTTATGCTCTCGTACACATACGTCACATCTAAGGGAAAAAAAATCCCGAATAAATCACAGAGTTCTGTCTGTATAAACTGCGCTGTGATTAAAATTGCAATGATTTATCTGCAAACTGCTTTTAAGACGCTGCAGTTTTCCTTCCCTGGAAATGATGGGCTTTCTGAGCTTAGGTGCAGATTAGTTTCCCAGTTGAGACTATTTTAAGGTTGATTGAGATTGTTGCTAAAGGAGGAGAAGTTAAAAGCTCAGTTGAAGAAGGTAAGAATGAAATTTATCGTTTTTCATTTAAACCAAGAGCAATTAAGGCAGCTCACTATTTTCTCTCACACACACGCAAAACATTTCTTCTTCTTCAAAAAAAGGAATTTCTTTGCCATAAAAATGGGATACTTTTGTTTCACTGAGTAAAGTAATTGCTATTTACTCTGCTTTGGATGGCTTCCGGGTGGGGGGTCACAAAGAATAGGATTGGGTCTTCAGGCCGGTATGTGGGATAGAGCTGTTCATTCATAGGGAGCTGAAATGCCATTCAAGAGGGCAATGAAGATCTTGCTTTGCTGTTCTTGGGTCCACCACTACCTCCCTCCACCCCTAAAGAGACATCAGACCATGATCTTGGAAAGAAACTATCCACATTAAACACAGACCCCCATACATATTCAAATGTCAAGCCTTCAGGTTTAAACATTTATTCAAAGCCACAAGTCCGTTTTCAGACTTCAGTTGTGATCCTAACCATGTTTATACATTCCATGCTCAACTGATTTGGATTTATAGAACAGCAAACTCACTGTTTCTGTTTCTGACAATAGTTAATTTACACTGCATAGGTATACTCGGAAGTAAAAGTTATTTAAGTCAATGGGACATACTCTAAGGAAATGCTATAGGGCTTCAGGTTCAAGTGGCATTCCTATATTCATTTCTCTGGGAGTAACTCAATCCCAGGAACTAAATGTCAACTCAGTCAACATAGCCAAAACTGCACTGTAATGCTGCACCTGTATACATGCTTATCTGAAGTAAGCCTGACTGAACACAGTACAGTTGATTATTAAAGTGGATGCCTGTGTTGGTACCTTAATGTCCAGGTCTTTATACCTCATAAATATATTAGGCTGAAAGGATAGATTGGAAGCAGTTCCTGTTTAATTCCCAATAGTGTACCCTCAATGAAAAGATTAATTTGCAATTATACTAAAATAGGAATTTCTAGCTCTCACCAATGTGACATCTGCAATTTTTGTGCAGACTACTCAATTCATTGGATACAGTGGGATTTATTTCCAAGTACAAATGCTTAGAATTACACTATTTCTTTTGTTTGTTTGTTTGTTTGTTTGTTTAAAAATGGTGATGGAAAAAGTGTAAATAAGTAAAGTATAACTTATTAACATTATTTTTACAACAGGAAGCCAGTTTATTTTCATTCAATAATTAAATCACACAGATTCACTTTACTGGAAAGTTGTCTCTATATATTGCTTTTATTTAATGCACTGAAGGAATGTAGACTAGAGCTTATATGGAAATGTAAGAATTTAAATCCTGTTATTGTCACTAAAAAAGAGGGAAACACCAAGATTAGTTTAAAGAAAATTGACTATAGGAAACTTTTATAAGAATTGATGTTCAGAGCCCACATTCATTTCTCAAGATTTCTTTGAACTTCAATAGATGCTTATTTTCAAGAGATGCCTTTAAGATTCCAGAGTTAATATTTCTATTTTCTAATTAGAATCATATTCATATTGTTGTTTTTACTTGTATAGTGAGAAGCAGTTTCTGTCCAATCTATTAAACAAGTTACTCATAATTCTGTGGTTTTCCAGCAGTCTAATACTTTCCTGTATCACCACTTTCAAATGAATATGAACAGACTTAACTGAAAGCCATAATGAGAGATTAAAATATTCTGACAATTTTCTTACAAAGTATTTAAAAGCTTAACTTTTACTTCCTGGGTTTAAAACACAAATTTGGATACACTGATTCCGTTTAATAAGTATGGTGCTTAATATAAAATCTTCTCAGAGAAGGAATAATATATATCTCAACATAAAATAGTGTAGAAACTATTTGGAATCACTCTTTCCAAATGGGAAACTTTGCATGCTGAGTGTTAAATGACAAAATGTACTAAGATTAATCAAGGGAGAAGAAAGGAAGAGCAAAATAACAAAGAGCATTTCAACTTGACTTTTAGATAGCACCTAGGGTTGCCGGAGGATGCAAAAAAAAAAAAAAAATCCTTTTCTTTATGGGCAATATAATTCTCAGAACCTTCCAATTTACTCCCATGAGACCTTCGCCTCTCCCCATCCCTTCCCCCATTGGTAGTGTTTGGAATTGTAATCAATGCGTTCCTAAGCTTAGGAAGTCTTTTAATGTAGTTATCATACTGTTCCCTATTTCCTTACAAAGAAAGTGTTAGGGGTACTTAATCCTACCAACAAATGGACATGGGCTTGCAGTCTAATGATTCACCCTCTTTCCCAATCCACAGACTGTAAATCCAGATTCTCTCAAATGGATCCCTTCAACTCATCTGGCAATTACACAAAGTTCAGAGACCATACTTTTTTTTTTCCTTTTAGCATTTACCATCACTGACAAGTCAAAAATATGACCGTTTTCCCCTCAGAAACCTGATAACTTAGCACATCTCCCAGTTAAAATGCATCGCAAAAATGAGATGCTAGTCTCCACTTGTATTTTCAATCCGGGGACTATTTGGTACTGTATTGTGTAGCAAAAAGAAGGCCTTGTCAAGTAGCACCATATCTGGGCTCAACGCTAAGCAGGGTGGGACCTGGTTAGTATTTGGATGGAAGACCACCAAAGAATCCGGAGGCAGTAAGCTAAAAGGGAAGCGGGGGGGGGGGGGGG